CGTGCATTAACGACTTCAACGATGAGTGAAGCTAAAAGAACAAAGAGAAAAGTGAACGACACATTTAATCTTTATCATGGCAAAATAAAAAAAGAAAAAAACTAACGCAATTCTGAGTAGTTTGGTAATGGTTCCAAAACGTTTTGAATTTCGCGCGTCCGAGCTGCGCACGCGCAGTTCGCTCATGGCGTTTCTACAAAACCCGCTGTTGTTTTTTCATTAATTACGTCAGCACGATTTGACGTCAGTAGCTTCGAGAATCGTTTCCTTACCCTCTCCTACTGTACAGCTTCTGATGAAACGTTGTTTTCCCTGAATCTCATTCACGTTCCGAGTCCCGTTATTGACACGTCACGATAGTCGAACTTGTCAAATATAGAACACAATTCCACGAAACCTTAGGGTAAGTTCTTCACGCAACGCGAATAACTTCAATATAAGGCCAGGGCAACACGATCTCGTTATTGTTTCGATTACGTCTCTCCTGGGCGTCTCCGATCTCGTAGTTCCCCTCTTACGTCTGTTGTTTATTCTCAGGTTCAGAGTGACGTTGAAGAATATATCATTCTTGCATCAATTCTGGAATAATCACTGTCTATAATATAATCGCGCCTAATTTTGTGCCCAGATTGCTTCGCAAGAAATCGACCGAGATGAGTTACGGTTATCAAGTAAGTATATTTACTTCCTCTTCTTTTTTTTTTTGCTTTGTAGACCGTCGTGCGACGACAAAGCTTGTGTAACATGAAAAATGTACTTGCAAATAATACATGCAGCACTCACAGTTGGAAGGCAAATTATACGAAAGTATGATCGTATTGTTTTTTTCTTTTATTTGCATCTTGACTATCGAAGGGACCACCAGTGATTCAATTTCCGGGACACACACCACCACCGACATCATTCGGGGCTCCACCTGGCACACCCTCTGCTCCTGGTGCTTATTCTCAAAGTGGCAGCATAGGCTTCACGAGTGGTGCACCTGTGTCTTTTGGAATGCCACAACCTTATTCACCGTATCCTTTCACACCTTATCCGCCACAATCTGGCCATCCCATGCCAAATCAGTATCCTCCTCCAGCACCGGGAGCTCCTGTCCAACAAATGCCTGTGCCCATGCCGCAATCAACTCCATCCTATCCGTTTCAACAGCCGTGTAACAATTCGGGACAGCCTTCTGCATATCAGCAACAACGAGATTATAACTTGTATCCAAATCTTCAGACTGTACCGGTTGCAAAAGAATGTTTTAATACACCTTCTCCATATAACTCTGTCTCTGCCTCTGACGTTTATTCAAATAACTCAAGCTTTTATCAAGGCAGAAGCTATCCTGGGGGACAGGGTGCAGGATTCTATCCTCCACACGAAACTAATTCTTTCACCTATCAACCTAAACCAGCCCCAGCCCCCCGAAAAAGTCAGTTTATAACCAAGGTGAGACTAAGAAAAGCTGTTTAAAAGGCAACATTGTGCAAAGTATTCGACACGCTTTAATTCTGCTGTTTCTCAGCTCAGAAGATATTTTACATTATTGGTTGGTTTATGTTGCAGTTGTCGCCTACGGTTGTACCATACAATGATTTTGATGCCAGAGCAGATGCAGAAATTTTGAGGAAAGCAATGAAAGGTTTTGGTACGGATGAGAAAGCTATTATTCACGTGCTTGCCAATCGCAGTAATCTGCAGCGTCAAGAAATTGCTGTTCAATTTAAAACTCTCTATGGAAAGGTAAAAACGTTAAAATGTGGAATGTAAATATTTTGATTGTATGTATCTGTAAAATTAATTCAAGTCAAAATGTCAAATAGGATCTTATAAAAGATTTGAAATCTGAATTGTCGGGCAATCTCGAGAAACTGGTTCTTGCTATGATGATGCCGTTGCCGCAGTTTTATGCCAAAGAATTGCATGATGCAATGTCTGGTATCGGTACCGATGAATGCGTTCTCATAGAAGTATTGTGTACTATGTCCAATCACGAGATTCGTGTGATTAAACAAGCTTACGAAGCAAGTAAGTGTATTTTTCCATTCGATGTAATTATACAGAACCACGCGTTTTTCTATTGTAGATTTCTAATTATTTTCCTCTTTGTCGTTTAGTGTACGGGAGAACATTAGAAGATGACTTAAGAGACGATACCTCCGGGAATTTCAAGCGGTTAATGGTATCGTTGTGTTGTGCCAACAGAGATGAATCATTCGACGTAGACGCAGCGGCCGCTGTAGAAGATGCCAAAGAACTTCTCAGAGCTGGTATGTAATTTCGTAAATAACGCGTGACATCAATACTACTTTTGTTTTGTTTCTCAGGTGAACTCCGTTTCGGAACTGACGAATCAATGTTTAACGCAATACTTGTTCAAAGAAACGTTCCACAATTGAGACAGATATTTCAAGAGTACGAAAATATTACCGGTCACACAATCGAGGATGCGGTCGAGAACGAGTTCTCGGGTGATATTAAAAAAGGTCTTCTAGCTATCGGTATGTTATAAATATTATATTACTTTCTATTTTATTATAGTTTCTTGAAACTACGGTGTATATATTGATATTGGATTATTTTTGTTGCAGTGAAATGCGTTAAAAACAGAGCTAGTTTTTTTGCTGAGCAATTATACAAGAGTATGAAAGGTCTTGGCACAGATGATGATCGCTTAATCAGGCTTGTTGTCACTCGTTGCGAAGTGGACATGGGAGAAACCAAACAAGTATTCGGACAACAGTATAACGAATCGCTAGAAGATTTTATATCTGTTAGTATCAATTAAAAAAAGAATTGCAAGAAAATTAATTGATTGAATCTAACAACTGGTTTTTTCCTTTTTTTTTCAGGGTGATTGTTCCGGTCATTATAAGAAATGTCTTCTAGCACTTGTCTCTTAAAACTACACCAGCAAAAAATATGACATAATACTTCATCGCATTTAATGGTGAATTTGAAGTATTAATATTTACATTTATTTATTTACTTACTCGTTGTTTAATATGTTATAAATGAGCCACGTTATCATATTGAAATATTTTTATAAATGAAATATGTTCCTAAGAAAACTTACAAAACTCTATATACGATGTTTACACAAGACACAGAGCATACAAATTTCAAATTTTGAATTCAATTGAATCTGAATTATTATTATTATTATAATTATAGAAGTATTCTATAAGTAAAGCCTAAAAAAAAGTATTAAAAGCTTAAAATAAAAATGTTATGAAAAAATTGCTTAAAACGTGATATTTCTATTTTATATATTATATAAAATATACATATATATATATATACATACATATTTACACAGAATATATTATATATTTATCTACGTATATTTTGTAGATATTCTTTTTAAATAAACCTGAATTTAAAAAGCATTGTAAAAATTATATATGATGGGAATAAATGTAATTTTGGAAATGTTAGAATTTATTAAATAAATAACGTATGTGTAAAATTTTATCCTTCTTTAAATTTACCACGAAATTCTTTGGGGATAAGGCTGATCATCCCAATAGAAAACTTTGTTAATAAAAATATAAAATTGCAGAAAATTTACCATTAATGTAGTTGCAGATTCTGCAATAATTTGCCATTTCTTTGGTTTCTTAATGGAAAGTCGATAAAATATATATGGAACAATAAAGTAACGTGGTTCTATCAATAACTGAGGAATAAGTACCATGGAAATCATAAGAATATAATTAACCTGTGTTGTAAATCTTAAATGTTTAAACCCACGAAACATTGTATATAAAGTGAACGAATATACAGGTACCAAAAGATATTTGAATTGTTTGTACTTTCCCATTAACTTATTCCAAAAATAAAATACATAATGTCGATTATCGGCCAACATGTATGGGTGTACAAGAGTGTTGAAATGAACAGTTACAGTTAAAAGTATCAAAACACAACCTTCAAACATCCACTGTTTGCTGATGAACTTAAAATAATCTTTCCAATAAACAATCATGTATGGCCATAAAAAGCAAAATAAAAAAGTAGAAAAATATAATAATTGAGGAATGTGAATAGTAGGAACATGAGCTCCTTTATCTCCAACTACAATTGCCTTGTTCCATATAACAAATATAACAAATGTTAAACATATTACAATATATGGGAACAGTTGTGCGAACAACTGAATGATGAATCTCATAAATAATTCCCACTTATGACACATTTTTCTTATTACTTTTTCCCATAATAACTAAAAAAACATATGGTAGCATAAGTTTATGCTAAATATTTATATTTGTTCCAACAATAATTTACTTACTTTCAAATATATTACTGAAGTATATTGTTGATATGAAATTGATTTACTTATTTTATGATCTAATAAATCAAACAAATGTTCCACGGTAATAAATGCAACCCAAATAATGTTTGTCTGTCGAATCAACACAGACAAAAGACCTGTATGATATTAATGATAATAACTATTCTTGAAATCTTGAATGTATCTTGTAATTTACTGACTTTTATACATACCTACGAAAGCTGCCGTTTTAAATTGTTTACACGAATGTAACAATAACATTAGTAATACTGCATTAACTGATGCAACATCTGTATAATACAAAAAATGCCAGAAAAATAATGGTGGAAATAACATGACATTGCAAGCGATGGTAAATTTCATCCAGTCATTCCATTTTTGCTTCCAGTGTCTTGTCGAAATCTGTTCAATCAGACTGTGAGCAAGATACAGATTCAAAAACGTGCCAAGCAAATTTATGCATCTCATATAAAAGGCGTTACACAATTTTAAGGGTGATAGTATCAGAGTTGCGATTAAGTACAATCCGGGTAAAGTAGTAATCTTGGGGTCCCACTGAAAGTAACATATCCTTCGAATACATATAGTTAAATGAAACTTTTCATTAGTTCATTTTCAACAACTCTACCAATCTAATTTATGATTTTAAAATAATTCACTCTTCGCACCAGAATGTAGTAAAAACTAATTGTGAAGAAACGTACCTGTGTAAAATTACCAGCGCAATATCGCAAAGTCTGAGGCACGTGAAAAACCTCGTCGATGAAGTAATGGGGCTGTACATGATTCAAATAAATAAATAACTGCACAATGCTCAGGCAAACGAATGCTGTCAAAATCCTTTGTACATATCGATTGTCTTTAAGTAAGATTGAGTTCATCGTTCCATTGATGAACCGAGACTAGATGAAGAAAAGTGAATGAAAATGAAATTTGCAGATGACAAAAGACTAAAACGAGTTTGGCACTGATAATTCGCTCAAATTAACCCACGCTCGGTCAAAAAAGGTATTCGTTTATTACAAAGATCATTTTATTCGTACATATTGTCAGTATTGCGAGTATATTTCTATATTCATAATTTAAAACACATCGCACATGCATAACTTTGAAACGTGTGCAACGTTTTCGCCGTGAAGTGAACGCCGAGTCGATATTTTCAAATCAACGAGTTGACATATCGATCCGGTGGAAGCTACGATTTGAAAAAAAGAGCGGGAAAAGTTTAAAATAAACTTTAACACGTTGAATTTTTAGTTAAGGAGTTACTTTTCTTCAGGAATGACTGATACATTTCAGATACATTATACTTTTAACCTTATTTTAATCTATTAGTTTTTTAATTTTCAATTCTAATTCTTAACCTGTTTTTGACACTAAAAGGTGACGTCGGTCATCGTGACGTCGGTCATCGTGACGCACTCAACGTGTTAAAGACTAAATGTATTTATTTCTACGACATGAATTTAAAGAAAAAGAAGAAGAAAAAACCAGAAGAACTAGACTTTCAGTAGTAAATGAATGTCACAGTAACATCGAAGTAAATAAGTTTATTTCAACTTAATTTTCAGATTCGGGATGAAATAATCTGAGCAAACTTGTTTCACGTTTATCTGTAGAAACGTTGGCAGGATACAAATATTAATATTTTACAAATAAGTGGATTGCAAATATACCAGGCAAACTTGTTCTAACACGTTACACGCTTTTTACTTAAATATTGTGCTTACTTCCTATTTCTTGTTCAACCGAAAAAT